TGGGTTCCTCATGGGATTGTCTGCTTTTGCTAGTGAGACAGGCACCCACTGGGAGCTCGTTGCAACTCTGCATGGTTAAGTACCTCTCAGTATTTGATCCCTACCAACGTGTTGAATCATGGAATCATACAATGATTTGGGTTGGAAGGGACCTTAAAGATCATCGAGTTCCAACTCCCCTGCCATGAGCAGGGACACCTTTCCATGGCTGAGGGGTTGGAACTAGATGTGCATAGTTTGCTCAGGCTCTTTTAAGTATAACTATTAGGTCTACTGCTGATCAGTATTGAAAACATTAGCTTTGAGAAATTTATCATTTGAAGGCTGCAAACTGGGCTTGCAGTCTTCCTTCCGAAATTCAAGGATATTATCTCTTTTCAGTTAATCACTCTGGGGAAAACCCCTCCTTACTAATATATGTATTTTTGTTTCCTGCACTACGTTTCTTCAATTATCTTATCAGTACGTTTTTTGTCAGGGTTATGAAGGAAACCTTGCATCTTTGTCAAAACTGATCTGCTAGCAGAAGCATTATGAGGCCAGCTAAGAAGATCCTGCAGCAGGAGCCAAGAAAAGGACGTAGAGGCAAATACTTCTAAAATAATTATTCAGAAAAATAAAAGTGCATGCATATCATACTCAAGTGTTCAGAGATGTACTCCTGAAGCGTAACATCATTGAGGAATCACGATTTTGTAAGATGGTTACTCCATGTCAAAGAGCAAAGATATTTAGTCCCCCATTAAAAAATACGGAACAACAACAACAAAAAACTGAACCAAAAAAAAACGGCTCCTCCTTCAGCAAAACCTCTGCTTCTCTGAAGCCCAAAAGGAATCTGCAGATGTATACCCCCTGCATGAGAACAAAGTCTTCAGTCACTGGAATGCAATGCTATAAAAACAAATACTACAAAGGCTGGTAACAGGGGGATGTCTCACTTGCATATTTTTTTGTGACCATCTTGGTTTGCAGAGAAGGGGGTCCCCAAAGCATGTGAGCCAGCAGGATCTCTTTGTACTAGGTTGCTGTCTGTTTGGCCAGATGTCTTCCCAACAGTGAGATAGAAAAACCAGAGCTCTTATTAAAATAAGTCAGGGAAAGGAATGGAAAAAAGCGTGTGTCCAGCGAAACGAGGCACATTGAGTCCCATCTGATATTTATTAAACGTTAGTCAAATCAGCAGTGAGAAACGCACATCATGCGGAAGTGACACTGCCTCCCCGGGTTTGGAAGTTAGTGACATATGTCTGGGAGCAGACCAGCACTGAAAACGTGTACAGGACACAGAGATGTGTGCTGCGCTAGGAGCAACAACTACAAATGGAGAAGGGTGGACTTTGGCCGAGAACCCCCTTTTGCAGATTTGACACATGTTCTGTCAACAGAATGGGTGTGTAGGGTCTTTCCCTCTACATTTTACCCTACGGCTTTCTAGATGAGAGGTTACACATCCCCTGGAAGAACACTGCATTTTATGTAAGCTATGAAAGCTAGCAGTCGAGTGGATAGAAGCAGGGAAGTTTTGTCAAATTAAAGCCCAAGCATGAGCTCCTTCAAGCCTTGAATCTCAGCTTTTGTGATAAACTTGTACAATTTTATGCCATCCTGCTGGGTTTTGTGTAATCACAATGAGCATTTGAAATCATCTCCCATCTGTTGTCGCTTAATGTTACTGCTATCGCGTCTTTTCAGAGCAACCCTTCAATAAAAATAAGTGTCCTCACAGTGCAGACTAAATGCGTCTCCTGTATCAGAACAAGCTTATTTGGACTTGGACCTTACACGGGGTAGTGAGGAAGAGCAACAGGGCAAATTGAAGCCAGGTTCCATACTTGAGGAGGTTGTGGAGCCCTGATTACACTGTAATTCATGCCTATACAGAAGGGGTTGTGTTCCTGGCTTTTACCTTTGCTCGTAGCCTGCGTTCTTTAACTGCGCAGAAAGACATCAGAATGAGTCTTCCAAAACTTTTCTTCAAGGTAGCTCTGTCTTCAGTAATTTTTGTATGTTTAGTAAACTAGAAAGCCAGCTGTTACTAGCAACAGAATTGAGAGCTATGTATTTGCACTACAGAGTTAATTTAGTAAAATTAGTAAAAGTGAATTTAGTAAAATTAGCTCGGAAAGACTTTACTGCGTCCATCTCTAGGCAAAGGAAAATAAAGGCGCCCATGGAACCTCTCTGGGTTTTTACTCCAGCCCTGGACCAGGGGCACGTTAGATGAGAGTACTGGGGGCACAATGGCAGTCAGATGCCGTTTTAAGCTGACAGGCAGAAAGTGCCAGCAGGCAATGCAATGCAATATACGGTTCCAGCCCAGCTTAGTTAATGGAATCTCTCCTGCCTGTGTGATCATTTAAGTATGCTGTGTTTATGTTATTGATACCAACAGCACTGGACTGTTAAAGGATGGAAAGGTCTGGCTTTCGTTGGGGTGCTGTTCTGATGTCAGTTTGAAATACAGTGAAAGTAAAAGTTCCGAAAAGCCAAAGTGCTGTTTTATTGAACCAGTGATAGAGAAGACTGAGACAAGTGAAACACGATCCTTATGAAGCACTGGAACATACATGATGCTAGATGCTGAACTGCAATACATCCAGTGACATCAGTGAAGTTTCAGCTCATTACACTACACAGGATGCCGGAGTACGGTGACAGAAAGCAGGTCATGTCATAAACTGAGTAATCCTAATACGAGACTGTAATCAAGTGAAACTTTTCTATGTGCAGTTGCTGTCAAAGGTTTTGTTTTTATTTCTGCCTTTCTCTGTGCTTTGTACCTCTGCAGTCTATCTGTCTTCCCAGTTATGGATCTGGTCCTGCTTCCATTAACATTAAAATAGAGAGGATCAAGGTTTTTGTTCTCTGTGTATTTAGAAGGTGAATGTGCTGTGCTTTGTGCCCCAAGCTTCTCGTGTTTTTTTGATATTTGGGATGTTAAAAAACTTGCAGGATTAGAATCTGAATTTTAAACCCTTCAGAGGAGGAACCTTACATTCAGCGCACAGGGGCTCAATGAGCCCGTTAGTACCAGCTAACAGCAGCAAAACGGTGCTCCAGACACCACGAGTTCCCACTGTGAAATAGTTTCAGTCTCTGAGTACCTATTTCAAACCCTTAGAAAACTGCACTTTCTCTCTGCAGCTTTTTCAGCAAGCAGAGTTTCCTCATTAGCAAACTCCTTGAGACTGTCAACCAAAGAAAGTCAGCCCACACATCAGGATCCATAAGCAAACTTGGCTATTGAATTATGCACCCTTCATCTTTTCTTTCGTGGTGCAGGAGTTGTCAGCCTTCCAAATCACCAATAAATGGGCTATGCAACTGCCTGTGTCTGTGCCAGCTCCCTTCCTTCCCACCTGCACAGGCAGGAGAGAAGCCTTTCCCCTCTGGAGTTTCTGTTCTTGGTTTATGCTTACAAGTCTTTCTCTTATTTCCCCCTAATGTTCCTGTTCCTGAAAAAAAGAACCAGATTCCCAACTGATCTTATGCCTAAACCCCAAGGAACCCAAATCTATGACACTGCTTTCATCACATGGCAACAGAATGTGATGTCATAGCTGGAAAGTTTAGAAAAAACAAGTGATGACATAATGTGGAAAGTGGGCTGACTTGTGAGTGATACACTTCTGCCTTAGCCACAGCTAATGTATGTGCAGAGGGAATTGAGAAAAATGCTTTGTCAAATAAACTTTGTATGAATGCTCTTCCTGAGTTGCTCCAATATGGTAATCCCTCCTTCAAGTACACTGGGCTTAAGGAAGTCACTGGAAAATGCTGTTCTTTGAGAGAGAAATACAGTTGACTTAACTTGATATGTTGGTTACCCATCCTCCATGAACCCAGGGGAAGTGGCCTGTGCTTTCCTCTTAAAAAATGAAAAATAAAACACCCCTCTGCAGAAGGTCATGAGTTGGGGAAAGTAAAATCAGCTGTGGGTTAGGCCTCAGGAGAAATATAAGTTACTCATAAAAAGCTACAGAGCAAGTTTTGATTAGTTAAGTAACCCGGTACATAGAATTTATTAGAGCTTAAAGCTTTCCTGTGGGACTCCCCTAATAGTACACAAATAGAGTAATAATATCAAAGAAATGCGTTTTCTGACAGACACAGAAAGCTGCATGTATCCTGGCCTGCTTAACACCCATCGGAAGGAGGGATAAATCCTGCCTGTTCATTACAGCACAGCGGTCCAGTTTTCATATTTTTACAAGTTTGTGCTTCTGATTGATTTCTTGATAACTTAATCAACGCTACTGACACTCTCGAGATGTTCCCATGGAGCACACAGAGAAAAGAGGAATGTTTCTTCCCTAATAGACTCAAACGTATCAAACCATTCTGCAAAAAGCTCAAATATAGAATAGCAAAAGACTGTTTTCTCTCACCAATTCAAGGTCCTTTTTCTTAAGCTTGTCCACGGGCGAAATTCACCAGCATTTTTCTGTTGGTATAGATGTACTGCTAGCTTTACCAGTATAGCCCCTCTTCTTCTCTGTGGCACTAGTATTCTCTAAACCGCCCTCAAAAAAGAAAAAAATGTCTCCATCATTATGGAAAGAAAGTGTTCCCATGGTAGCCATTTGTGGTAATGGTTGCAACGCAGGACAGTACTCCTACCAGGTTTTCATAATGCTATTTTACTTCTGTGTTTTCCTTCTGCTGGAACGTTTACTGTCTCCTGTTGCCCCTGCAGGGAAACTGAATGCTAAGAAAGAGCTGCTGCGGCATGATGCCTGACAGAGGAGATGCTAATAAACATTTGACTTCCAAAGTTCACCAAAATCTTGTTAGCACAATTGGAAAATAGTCCTGTCTCTCAGGAAAGCCACAGGTTTTCCAGTGAAGCAGAACCTACTTCTCTCCCACATGCTAAAATCCCAAAGTGATTGTATCACTAAGCTGGTGTTTTAACCACTATGGAGGCTACCCTAGCACAACAGGCATATAGATACCCATATATCATCTGCTTACATAAATAATTGGTTCTTTAGAAAATGGAGAAGAGGAAATGGGGAGATAAAACCTGCAATGTCTTCTTTGCCATTGTTTTAAAATTCTTTAAATCTTTTTTTGCAGGTATTCAGGAGGGGACGCAATGTACCAAATGTAAAAATAACTGGGCACTGAAGTTTTCCATCATCTTATTATATATTTTATGCGCCCTGTTAACAATCACAGTAGCCATTCTAGGATACAAAGGTAGGTATGCGTCGAGTGCAACTTTTCACTTTCAGCCAAGCATCCAAGTCTATTTCCACGTATTAGATAGATAGGCAATTTAGCACATTTTCACCTTAAATATCAATACCTTGGAAATGTTGTTGTACACACATGATCATTCTTCACCACAGAAGAGTACTAACTGGAAGACTAAGTCTTACAAGTTCTGTAACATGTGCTATACCTTGATTTCAGTGAGCTTTTTTACATACATAGCACCTTTCCAGAATAAATGTCCTGCTTAGTGGGAGAGCCAGGAATAGTCTTACTAATATAATATTCATCACAGGAACAAAGTGTGGGATCAATATTACTTTGAAATATCTGGAGGAAAGATTGGACCAGGAGGTACCAATATATTAAGTAATGTACAGTTATTTTGATTAATAAAGATGCTTAGACACTTTTGACAGTAATTTTAAGGATTCTGGTATTTGGGCAACCCAGAAATGGAAAACACGGCTTAAAATTCCCATACATCCTCAGCATTAATTAACTGTAGCCACTTCAGCATTCTTACAAAGGGTTGATGTAAATGTCTACTTTTTGTGCAGTCACAGCTATAATAAGTTAAATATATAAGATGTGAGGTTCTGGTAAGAAAAAAGAAAGTGAAAGAAAAAAAAAGAAAAAAAAGCTTAACATCATTGTGAGTATTATAACAGGACTTTGCAGCATGTTGTGGAGAAAACCAAGCTAGCTTTAAACTAGCTGCTTGAGTATGGCTCTGAGGGTAGCTTCAAAACCCCTCCTAGAAGCTGGGTAAATATTCATGTGATTAGCATGCAGTGCATTCTGTGCTGCCAACAGCTGCACTTGCAGCAGAGCTGACATCACCTCTGGTCCTTTGCCAGCAAAAGAAAAGGAAATTGTAGAAATAGAAAGGGATAAATACTTATTTAAGATGATTTGGCACAGTTTTGAGTAGGAAGAAAATTAAAGCTGCTTGATTTCAACGGAAGATTTAGCCAAGTAGGTGAGAGAATGCGAAGGACAGATAGAGACGTGTAGGTATTCCTTTTTCATGATAAAGCAGACAGAATGCATCAAATTAAAATCAAATGTAAAGAAATGCAGTACATATATAGTTGGTCAGACATTCTCCTGAAGAATGTGTAACTCTTCTCTGGAAGTCAGATTCTGAGGAAGAAAAAACTTTGCAGTCTTCAAAAATTTGTTTTTGATCTATAAAGATAAGATCATTTGGTTATATGGACTAGGAGAGGACAAACTTAGGAGGCCTTTTGTAGATATGAATCTGCAGAGATCTGCTTACAGCAAATGAGGATGGGATCCTTCCGGGCTATAACCCAGCCACTAAATGCCTGGGATTTAACAGAATTTTCTTCAAGAGAGTTTTGTATAAGGCCATCAGTTCTGTGGCTCACCAGAAGGCTTAGACCTCACTTTGAATCAGAAACAGCATATCAAGTTGGAGGGATCTTTGCTCTATATATTGCTTTGGCAAACATTTGTTTGTGTGTGTGTGTAGGAAGCAATAGCAATATGGAAACAGTCCAAAAGATCTCTTTGGGAGGGGGAGTTTCTCTTCCTCATTTCAATCCACAATTTTCAAGCTTCTTTCTCCATGGAGGCCTCTAGCACCACCTTCTCCCCAGGCTTTGCTCTCATCTTGAGACCCCATCTTTGCTACACTCATTACTAAACCTCCTTCTTGTACTGAGTAGTCACTGACACCTGACCAGGGACTAGTCTTTCTGTCGTAGCAGTGCCAAGCCACATTTATCCAGGGAAAGGACAAAAGAATTTCCTCTCTCACAAAAAAATAAAAGGAAAAGGATTATAGGAAAGTAAATAATGCTCATCATGCTCTCAGATCTTAAGACATCTTGGTGACCACTGCTCCATCTCTCACCGACTTGGTGACTGCTCCACCCGAATGCCAGGGGAAAGAGGCATACGCTGGAGAAAAGTCCTGTTTAGTCCAAGGTATCCCTTCTGTAACACCAAGCACCAAATGCTCATATGTCAGGCATTAATTTCATCCTTTGTACCTGCAGTTTAAGAGCTTCATCTCCACAGTGCCTAAGCGCTAATTTGCAGGGAAAACATGAGTTAGACAAAACCCCAGCTGACGGTGCATATTCAAAGGAATTATTGCAATATTTTTGATCATTGGGAAGGAATTAGGGCCGAAACGAAGAAAAAAACTCAAAATAAAATTTTGTAAAGCTCTTGAACTCTTCTGCCTGCATCAGAGTTTGGCTTGTCTTTTTTATTGCAATGTTACACTGAAAGAAGAAATTCTGCTGGCATCAGGGATTCTTTCAGTCTCTTAGCTAAGTTTCCATTAAATTTGCCTCCCACACTTACGTTTATAAAGCCAAAAACTACTTTTAAAACTTTCATTTCCTACGTGGTATTTAGATATCCTTTGTGATTTAAAACGTTAAAGCTACTAATCAGTGGATTAAATATGGCAGGCAAAAAAATAACTCAATGGGAGGCAAAGTCAACATAGAACAAACCTCCAAACTGGTGGTAAAAATTACATAGTAGGTTGGAGAAACCTGAAACCAAAACGTGAATTAAACATCAAGGTCATTAAGGAATAACAAGCCAAGTTTACTATTAGTTTGCTCTGAGAAAACACATGAAGTTATTGTTAAAAACATTAATAAAGCAATCTGTAATTTTTTATACATACTTTCTTAAATTAAATGCAAAATACAAATTTATAATTTTTCTGGCACGAGCCAGTGTCAGGTTAGCCTATTGAAGGTGAAAGATCTTCCTGTCACTCACTCCAGTGAGGGAAGCTAGCATGCTGTCAACTTGAGTTTCTGGTAGTTCTCGTTCTCTGGTCAGTACTTGTTTTTAAGTTTCTTGACTAATGCCCACCGTGACTTTCATCTATTTCTTTTATCTGTCTCCCAGACAGAGTTTGCCTGCCATTACCTAGGGCCAACCCACTCTGGTGAGATGGCACATTTTGTCTCTGCTTCTGAAGTCATGTCTCAGGTGCAGCCAGTCCTCACTGTTCCAGTCAACAGATACTTGAAATTTTGGCTTCTTTTGGAGGGTCTTTACAACGTTTTCCTCAGTAACCTTGTTAGAAAGTGAGATGACAATGTAGAAAGATCTCATTGAGCTGAGAATTAAGGTGAAGCTATCCAAAAGCAAGCTTAAGGCATAGACAAACTTTACATTTTTGAGAGCAGCAAATTTTTCAGAGCTTCATAAGAAGTAGTACAGCTGGTCTGCCTGTTTTGCCTTTGCCTGTTTCTGGAGAAGATGAGAAGTGGCTGTTCAAGCCCCAGGCACTCCTCAGAGGTTGACTTCCATTTCTGAGAGTGCTCCACATGCTCACCTACCGCTGAAGGTTCCATTCAGACATAGTGGTGGGACCAACTGCCAGGGAAGGAAAGGCATTCCCAATAATAGGGCATCATCCATATGAGCCCTTTTGACAGCAAGAGCAACAAAACCTACTTTGACCATGGCTCTTTACTCGTTCTCCCCAGAGTTCATCATTTCCACTTGCAGGGCAGTAGCAAGAGAGTAAATAAGCTGCAACTTGCTTGGGGAAGGAGTTTGGGCAGGAAATCAAGTCCCCCAGGGCCATGGTTTGTTTGACCATAGAGACTGAGATCCTGCCCCTGTACAAAGCAAATATATGCATCGGTTTGTCTGTGGGATGACAAAATTCAACTTAGCCTGCATCACTGAGAATCCTTGAGCATGTTTGCAGAGACCTTTACTGTTTCTGCTGCTGGAGCTGGGTGGTTTGAACTGGCCTCTGGCCTCTCTCCTCTACACTTCACACAGCAGGACTGATTTGCCCTCTGAGGGGAAACAGAATTAAAATAAAGGAAATGGTTTGCCTGATACAGCTAATTCTGCACTTTGCATCAGTTAATCTGGGTAAATCATCGCTAGTTCATGTCAAATAGACAAAAAGCAATACTTTGTTTATTTGAAACACACAAAGAACGTCCATAGCTACAGACCAGCTTTGCACTTTTTAGTGTGGGCTGTTTTTTTTTTCACTTTTGGCAATGAAAATACCATACGCTTTTGTATCTTAAATTCCATCTGATTCATCTAACTGCCAGTACAGGCTACTACATATTGATAGGATTTTTAGTATTTTCATTTGCTTTGGACTCTTCAGGGTAATATTTTACCCCAAGTTTCCAGTGTTAGATTTCATTCAACCATGAAAACATTCTTGTTGTTACAGGACAGTATAAAACCTCACTTTTACAAACTTCAGATCTGAAGTACAAACTGGCGTTCATTTGAACAGCAAAAGGAAGAAACTATGTTTTCCTTTCATTATTGGTAATATATATTCATTTGCCAACTCCAAGTGTATTGCATAACTGGAGAAAACAGATGAATATTACACTAAATCTGAATTAGCAAGACCATAGGTCATGTGACATTCCTAGTCAGGGCACAGGTCCAGCAGGAACACTTGGAAGTAGATCTGCTTTTTAAATCCAGATGCTTTCACGAGGTCCTCTCTAAGTGCCCAGAGTGAGCCATGTCCTTCACTATCAATAATCAGAGCAGAACACGGCAGACTGAACAAGGAGCTGCCTAGAGGTAGCCAGAAGGAAAAGCCAAGTATGGTCACTGAACGTGATGCATAGGTGTATACACGCATCAGTGGAATGTCAGAAGTAACTGAAGGACCTGTGCTGATCTGGGCTCCAGCTTGGAAGACAGTTGGGCAGGACAAACAGAGAATCAACTCCGACTTCATTTAGGAAAAATGGCATACGGCGTTTTGACAAGTAACTTGAATAGGCAGAAGAACGAGTGAAAAATTAGTGCCTTATTGCGGGGGGAAATGCTTTCTAAAGAAGAAGGTATTGAGCAATGGTCCTCCTGAAAAATCAAAGCCATTATCATAGCCTGGATCTGGTGCTTATCAAGCAATCTGCCATCATCTCATATACAGAAAGCCACGCTCTGACTGTATCTCTGTATGCACAATAGAGTCTCTGTTTTACGGGCTTGTTTAGCAGTAGGTAATTCACCAAAGGGTGTCTGGTCTCTGTAAAAACCTTGAGGCTTTTTCTTTGTTGTAACTCCATTTACCTCAGTGCAGTTGCACGAGAGATCATCTTGGTCTGCTTTTTCTGCTGTTAGTTTTGGGGAGCAATAAAAGCCTGCTGTGTAACTGTGGTACCTAGAGTCAGAAAAACAAGGGTAAAAGTTAGTATAGAAGGGGAGCTTGGCGGACTATACTTTAAAGGTCTGGGATTCTTGTGGTTGCTCATGAGCTGCAAAAGATCCCCTAAATTTCCACTTCCAATTAAAAAACCCCAAATCTTTATTCTATGAGGCTATTTCCTAGCTTCAGATTATCTCCCAGACAGAAAGAGTTAGTGGTACTCTGCACCGCACATAGGTTTACAAAATTGGCTTCACTGTCTCAGTACATGGGAAGCACCTTATTTCTCTTGTTTGAAAGAAGAAGCTGGCACAATAACTCGTGTAGCCTTTTATGAAGTTGGTTCAGATCCATTCTGCTCCCAGTGCAGCAAAAGAGCTAAATAGTCTCATGATGAGAAGAAATTTCTGCCCCTGGTTGTGGCTTGAATGCAAAAGCCTGTTAGACAAGGTTTGGTGTGGAAGCTGAAGGCTGCCTCTAACCTTGCAAGCATTTCACATTTTTGCCTCTCGAAGCCACCCCTGGGCTCTTTATTTGTTGCTCTGCTTTTTCTGTTTCCATATCAATTCCATCAAATTATCAGATTGTCCCAGTGACAAGAAAATGACTCAGACATTACAAAATAAAGAGCACATCAGCCATAAATCTGCACTTGCTGAATAACCAATCCTTTCAATCTTAACGAGGCAGAATGGTTTCAAGACTGTTTTGAGTGATCTGTACCATTATCAACGTGTTTAAAAGTTGATCCCCAAAGCATTTAGTAATTGCATCTTCAAACTGTTACCCCAGTCCAAAGTTTGCTATCCAGGTGGAAATTTTTAATGATTAAAAGGCACAGAGGAAAAAAAAAAGTTCTTTTAAGGAGAAATGGCACACAGCAAAATAAAAGGAAGTCTTCCCTCATGTGTCTGAGTGTTTAGCAATCAGTTTGCCTTTGCCACACAGCACTGTGCTGGGAGCATGGAAATTCTGTTAAAAGAAAAGGAATTGGTTCATGAGGAAAATCCACAAAGAGGGATTTTCTCATTCGGGAGAGAGATTGTTCATGAGCAAAGAAATATTTGGGAACTGTTGGCAGACTAAAGAATTGAAAGAATGCTGGGTTCCACCAGCAAATAGGAGCTCATCCTTCCAACATTTCACAGAGCAACAGCAGACTGTAGTGGCAAGCAAGGCAATTTTAAGGCGCGTGCTTTTTTTGTTTGATGGTAGTGGTGGTTTTTTGGTTTGCTTTATTGTTTAGTAGACTTTTTTCATAATTTCACTTGTCATCTTTCCATAACATAGTGTTCTCTTTCCCCTAGTTGTAGAAAAAATGGACAATGTGACAGGTGGCCTGGAAACGTCCCACAGAAGATATACAGAAAAGCTCACAGAGGTGGAGAGTGATCTGAAGAAATTAGGTAATCTGCACACAAGCAACGCCCCTTTGTATTATGGCTTTGGGTTGCTCTCCTGGCAGATAGTGATAGGAAATTTGTCTGAAAAATCTCTGACTGTGATAAGATACAGCACTTCTGTTCCAATTTCTCAAGTACTTGGGAAAGCACTTAGAAGTAGTTAAGATCAGCTCTACTTAGGACAGCATTTTAAGCATACTTCAATATTTACAGTTCCCACTGAAGTCACTCTGAAATCATTTATACTAATATAAACAGCCACTTAATAGTTGTCCTCAGGAGAGAGTCTTCTCTGAGGCAGAGATATAAAAGCAGCAGAAGCTGTTCCACAGCACAAGAGACTCAACATAAAGTGAAAATCTGTCACCCAGTCATCTTGATGCTGTTTTAGCAATTAAGATTCCAAACTGAAGGCCATTTTAAGGGGAGCACAAATAATCAACTGTTCAAAACTCACGTCTGAGGCAAGTTGATTACTTCCATAAAATCTTTCTTAATCATCTCAGGGAATACAGGACACAAGGTTGTTACAAGTTCAGGTCTCCCAAGTGCTATCACAATTCTCAATTTGCAGGAACATGGAAAAAGATCATGGATAAGGATTCTACTCACTAAGCATACATTGCTACCTTTCTTCCTTGTCTGGAAAGGAAGCAGAGCTGTTTATTATCCTTTTATATATACATAGACTTATAGTTTTTATAATTACTTTTTATATCAATTTGAATATACACATACGTGCATGTGCTTCTTGAAATAAATTTTGTTTAGCTTCATAAACCATATATTGGATGTATATTTCTAGGAAAAAGGACTTGCTTCCAGCTTGACGATAAATGTTTACAACTTTTTCCCTTAAAAAAATAGCTGGATTCTGAAGTATTTGCACACTGCACTTAGTTCAAAGACATGGGGTAATTCAGTGGCATGTATTTCTACTGATACATACACAAAATTAAATGTTACACCTTAAAGCACATGCAGCCTTTTAGGTTATATTTGGGTTGTTATATAATGCTGATCAAATTTTTACAACTTGGAGCACCTTGGATTCATTCACACCTGCACATTTTTACATGCTGGATGAATGGCCAGTGAGATGCTCAGGACCATCAGTTCCCATTTAAGTGGACTTGCCATGGAGGAAGGTAAAAAAGTTATGGGGCAATGTGTGTGGGAGACATGAAGGTAAGAGAACTGCTGTAGGGCCAGAAGGATAACAGCATGTGGTGAATGAAAGAAAGGCCTTCAGGGATTAGCTGTACATGGACCTGGCAATTGTCAGAGCTGTATGAGGAACACAATATAATTTGAGCTATAACAAAGAGGTAAACATAGTCAGAGCTGAGAAGATCCTGGAATGAGACAAGTGGAACTGTGCTCGGGAAGATGTCCATCCACGAAAGACTTTGTAAACACTTCAGACTGAAGTCTCACAAGCCAGAAGTTGATATTCACTATCATGACTCATTCAGACACCCCAGAAGACAGCTCCATACACAGCTGTAGTCACTGTAGTGTATGAAAACCATTCTGCCCTCTCTTCGTGTCATATGAAATGATGAACTTTAGACTACATAATTCATAAATATAGCTACACTTAGATGAGGACAAAAATATATGGACTGTGTGTAGGAGAGAGAAGTGATTGAGGTCAAGAAAGGGAATCTTCCCTGAAAGTGAGTGTTGACTACTTATTTCCTAGGTTTCTATGTCCCAGCTGATGAGCTGTGCAGCCTCAAAAGCTTAATCATACTCAGGCAAGCTCCCGGAAGTATACTGTAGGGCAGCGTAAGCAAGAGCAGAGATATTCCTCTAAGAGTAAAGGCTTTGCTTTCCTGAAATTCAGAACATGAGGAAACAATAAGAGCAAAATAAATGTCATTAAAAGCAATATTAGTATGTTAGAGAGAAAAACAGAAATACATCATATTCTGTCATATCTGGAATAGCCTGCTGGCAAAGCTTTTGTCTCTAACTCAGATTGTTTTAAAGTAGGTATTAGAACTTTTTTAAAACTAAACCCAAAATTTTAAAAAATGAAATGATATGTACTAAATCACAATGAAGATATTTCACCTGCCAGGAAAAGGAGGAAGAAAATACGAACAGCTAAAATTTATCTCTGAGCTTCCAGCAATCATAGAATCATAGAATCATAGAATGGTTAGGGTTGGAAAGGACCTTAAAGATCATCGAGTTCCAACCCCCCTGCCATGGGCAGGGAAACCCTCCACTACACCAGGTTGCCCAGTTGTAACAATACCAGTTGTAACTTCAAAACATAGATTTACTGATACCTCTTTAATATTTCAAATTCTGCTTACTGTTCAGTTTTCATTGAGAGTACAAGCACTACTTGACTGCACGTATTCATCAGTTTCTAATGGTAGTTTTTCCTGTGTGTGACAACGGAATCACCATTTTGCCCTCCGCAGCAAGACACCAGGTCTTCATGTCTTTGATTTTTTTCTGCCTAGTGACAGAAGTTTCCTTAGTGGTTTCTCTTTTCTGGAATTAAAATAGACTGTGCTTTTTTACACTGTGTTTTAAAAAAGTCATCCTAAAGCATTTCAATTTTTTTTCCTATACAACAGATGACCAAGCTGGACAAAAAGCCATGAATACTAACACTGAACTGTCTAGCTTCAGATCTGACATTCTAGCTCTTCGTCAGCAGCTTCATGACATTGCAGAGAAAACTACCAGAAACAAAGATACACTGGAGAAGCTGCAAGAGTCTGGTAACGTATTAGATGACAGACAGAGCCAAATGAGAAGTGCCTTAGATAGTAACTCTTTCATGATCATCAGTGTCAATAAGACTCTTCAGGCATATACTGGCTATATCAACAATCTTCAGCAAGACACAAGTAATATTCAAACGAACTTGCAAAACCAAGTGCATTCTCATAATGTGGTCATCATGAACCTGAACAACTTAAACCTGACACAAATACAGCAAAGAAATCTTATCAGTGTCCTGCAGAAGTCAATGGAAGATACAAGCTTGGCTATTCTAAGAATCAAGAATGACTTTCAAAATCTGCAGCAGGTTGTCCTTCAAGCCCGGAAGGACACTGACTGGCTTAAGGAGAAAGTACAAAATTTACAGACTTTGGCCGCCAACAACTCAGCGTTGGCAAAAGCTAACAATGATACGCTTGAAGACATGAACAATCAGCTCAGCTCCTTCAGTGGGCAAATGGAGAATATCACCACAATTGCCCAAGCCAATGAACAAAATCTAAAGGATCTCCAGGAACAGCATAAAGAATATGAAAACAGAACTTCTGCTAAATTCAACCAGCTAGAAGAGAGATTCCAGGTCTTTGAAACCGATATAGTCAATATCATTAGCAATATCAGCTACACTGCTCATCATCTACGGACACTGACTAGCAATCTCAATGAGGTCAGGACAACTTGTACAGACACCTTAAGTAAACATTCGGACGAGCTGATTTTTATGAACAGCACACTAGCCAATATTCGCTTGGACTCTGCATCTCTCAAGATGCAACAGGATTCGATGAGGTCAAGGTTAGATGTTGAAGTTGCCAATTTGTCGGTAATCATGGAAGAAATGAAGCTGGTAGATTCCAAACACGGCCAGCTCATCAAGAACTTCACTATCCTACAAGGTACGCAGCTTCTCTAATGATGCCCGTAATGGTCTATGCTGAATTCCTGCTTGTATTACTTCTTTAGTTCTGTGGAAGTTAGTTAGTGCATGCTGGTACAGAGTTTTCCGTTATCTAGTCTTAAACTTTTGAAATGTAAATATGGCTTGAATATTCCTTACTGATTTTCCTATGCCTTCTCTACATACCTAGAATGAGGATGTTATGAGAGAAGGTTCTGACTTAGCAAAATTTTATTTTGAGTGACTGACCAACTGGATCTGCTTTTGATTTAGTTTCTAAAATAAGCCAATGAAGGTGTGGAACCTCAAGAAACCAATCCCTGGTAAGGAGGAAATGGCTAAAAAATATATGTTGGACTATTCCCAGAAAGGTCCACCCTAACTGAAAAACAAGTTGCTATTTCACTTTAAGCCAGTTGTTAGTCTGCCAGAAAACATCCTACTTTGCTCAATTTTTAATGCAGGGATATTTTATTTTCTCCAGAAATGAATAGCATCCAGTTTAGGGAGTTTCTCCCAGCCAAGCATTATCCCAAATGAAAAGAACGCTCATATTTCCAACCTGATGTGAACCAGTCAGGCCTAAAACTCTAATCACAAATATAAATCCATTGCTCCAAATAAACTAAGGCTGAATTAGAGCCAAGATTACACGTCAGTAACCTTAACCTTTTTCATTTCAACCAGGCTTAAATTACTCCAGTTTAGGAATTTATCTCTAGAGGAGTTTTGATGATGTAGATTGGTGGGGGGTGGGAGGTATTGGCAAGGCATTTGCTTATCCATGACCAGACTCCAAAATAATTTTGTTATTTATTGCTGTCACAATACTGCGATTTCCTATGGTGGGTATTGTTCTCTTTCCTGCTATATCCAGCCAGTGAGCAACCAGTACTTCTGCGCTTTCCCACAGTGAGCCTATCACTGGCTATCCATCGTTTTGTCTCTCTTTGACAACCCATCATTGACACAGCAGCAAACAAGCTCATTGCAGGAGAAAGAGTCCTGCAGCTCAAGAGCGGGGAGACGGGGCTAGAGGGAAGGGAGGGTGCAGCAGAGTGAGGGACCGCGTGCACCGGCAGCACGGAGTGTGCCTTGTGGGGACTGGCGGCGCCTCAGCCGGTCACCCGGGCGTGGGGTCACTATCCGGTTCACAGATTATTTCCTTCTGTATCCTGTATTTTGTGGAGGCTGAGGAAAGACCAGTGGTTGCGTAGTGCCTGAGAAGCAGACGTGCTTTTAGAAGCACTGCTCGAAGCAGTGGTTGGCCTGGTTCTCACAGTGCTGAACGTCCAGCGTTGCTGGTCTGAGATACGTTAAGCAAAGACCCTATGTGGGCTTTTTGGTGTTTTTTTTTCTGTCTGTACCCCACTTTGCATGCTTACATCTTTTCAGGCCCTCCTGGTCCACGAGGACCTAAAGGTGACAGAGGCCCTCAAGGTCCTCTTGGCCCCGCCGGCCTAAAAGGACAAAAAGGAGAGAAAGGAGAGCCTGGACCACCCGGACCTGCAGGTGAAAAGGGCCCGCCTGGGCCAGCTGGGCCACCAGGAGAAAAAGGAGGGAAAGGTTCCAGAGGATCACCTGGCTCCAAAGGTCAGAGAGGTTCTCCTGGCAAGACGGGTCTGCCTGGACCAAGCGGAGACCCAGGGCCACCAGGACCACAAGGCAAAGATGGCCCACCAGGGCCACAGGGCCCTCCAGGATTTCAAGGCCTGCAGGGAACTGTGGGAGAGCCAGGGGTACCAGGACCTCGAGGGCTGCCGGGGCTACCCGGAGTCCCTGGAATGCCTGGTCCGAAGGGCCCACCTGGCCCGCCAGGGCCACCTGGTCCAGGGATGCCGATGGCACTACAAAGCGAACCCACGTCAGCGCCTGAGGCCAATGGTAAGCTGTCAGCACACCGCCTGCATCTTTACTGAGATACAAACACACGTAGTGGAGGGTGCTCACCGCTTAGTTACTGGTTCAAATAACCGCTGCTGCATTAGGCTAAATCTCTGGGATTTATCACAGAGCCCTGTGAAGTGAAGCCATACCCGTTGGTCTTCCTTCTGATGACCTGAAACTGATTTAATGCCGACGGCTAAAGAAAAGGTATTACGAGTAAAGAAAAGGTAGTACGAGTAATAAACAATCCCCTTGACCACACAGTTTAGCCTTGATTTCACAGAGTCAAGATCCTAATAAGTAAATTCCCAATCTGTATGTAAGTACTTTAGGTGGCAGCATGCTGTAGATGAGTACGGGATCCTCCACTTATTATTGGCCCTATGGAGAAAGTTACCACTGGCCCTTTGGGTTATCAGTAGCTGTCTTAACACAAAAAATTCACATCACAGGTTGTTCTCCTCGTTGGAAGAACTATACAGAAAAGTGCTACTACTTTTCAATTGAAAGAGAAATTTTTGAAGAGGCAAAATCGTTCTGTGAAGAGAAGGCATCACGCTTGGTTATCATAAATGACAAAGAGGAGCAGGTAAGTACCTTCTCTTTCTGTTTTTCAAGGAGACAGTTTGAAGTCATTTAACATGTGGAAGACAGAGGGCAAGTGGGAAACTGAGAGCATCATGAGCTCATATAGTGAAGAAGACACAGCGATTGACTCCAGTTAGCATTTTGTCCACCCTCTGCCTGCTCAGCAGCTTCTCTGTGTGCAGAAGGGCAGTGTGAGCAGAGCTGGTGCTGACTCTGAAGGTGGTGGGCACAGAGCAGCCAGAAAGGCTGGTGAGAATTGTAGGAGTTTTGAACCTTTAAAGATAGCATCCATTATGCCTTGCATATTACCCAAATTGATTTTCACAGTGGTGAATATAATTTAATTTTAAATTGTCTGATTTAATACATGCAGCCTAAGACTACTGTGACTCAAAAATACTTTTAATCTGACTATAAATCTAGCTGTACTTTTACTACTGTTCAACGTAATTATTTGGTGGCTACATAGCAGTTGGGATGTCAAGATACAACTGCTTACTCTTTGGGTTTTTTTCAGTTTGTGTCTATAGGATGTTGGCTGTGACTTTATGTCAACCTAATATTCATGCTTAGCTCTCTACCTCACATGCAAACACTGTGATGGATTCTAGTGTGGGCAAGGGGTTGCAAGGCCAACTCCTGAAGCATACCTTCAGCTTAGAAAAATTTCTTTGGCCTTTCTTATTCTGATAACAGATGTTCTTGAAACCAGAGTAGCTTATTGGCTCCAAAGACAGTTGTGTTTGCTTGTTATGGACTAAGATCTTTCTTCCACAGCAATGGATAAAAAGGCAGATTTTTGGGAAAGGCAGCTTCTGGATTGGACTAACGGATTCAGAGAAGGAAAATGAATGGAGATGGCTGGATGGATCCTTACCAGTTTATACGTATGTAAATAAAGAACAATGGTGTTTATTTTTGCAGATGCTACCACTCTTGCTGACACTTCTAAAAGCAGCAGCTAGAAATTATCCAATGGGTCCAGAGAGTTGTAGATGCCAATGAAATAATTCATTACTGAGGATGCTGTTGAATTGTTTTTTTCTGTCTCCCTTCTCCATGCACAAGGCTTTCTTTCCTTGCCAGGGAGAAAACTGAATGCTGAATGAAAGAATCACAGAACTACATAGCACAGTGTTTCTTGCCAAAACATTTGCTCCTGACTTTTATTACAAAGTTGAGATGGAAAGCACAGACAGTTTTACTGTCTTGGTTTGAATTTTCCTTATTTGCATTACAACTGTCTATAAATAGAGTGTTCGTTCTGATAAAAAAATGACCAGCCTTTTGATAAAGCCCAAATCCAAGTGGAAAGCATTAAACATAAGGAAAATGCATGAAACGAGGCTGTCTAAGCTTTGGCCAGCTGAGAACTGAATTGGCAGCTCTCCAGGAATCCTAGGGCTACACCTAATTTGTCCTAAATGGAACAGATTGCAACCACCCAAATTTTTAATACTGAGTAGACTAAAGAGTTTATAGAGCTGAGCATGCTGTGCTCCAGAAGAACAGGCTACAGTCAGTCAGATGTTACAAAATGATTAGCTGTGATCTCATTGGTGTTCATTTTGATGAGAAACATGGAAAAAGTCAGATGTATTTCAAATGAGCCATAGTATTTTTCCCTTTTTCTCCCTCCTCGTTTTCGCCTTTCTTTCTCTTTATGGCAGCACTGTGACTGATTTCCACTTCAGCCACCGCTTTCAATAGGTTTCCACTACACTGTGGTTTTAGGTGCCCTGTTGTAACCTCAGAGCTGTCAGTTACTGAGTTTTGAAGTATTTCGTTACTTCTGGAAAGCTGCGTGTCCTCCCAGGTGCCTGGACAGGCGTTCTGTGTCAGGCAGGCATGTTTTTTAGCTGAGCATGGACCATATGAGCCAGCAATCACAAGCTCCCTTCAACAACCTGTTTCTTCAGGAAAATGGAGCTTTTAAGTCCCGAGGCTGGAAGCATTTCTGACTTGTTAAACAAAAACAGGATGAGGAAGCACTTGCTGCAAGCTCTTTACATGCTGCGTTAAGTTTCACCATCAAAGCTAACAATCTCAAAAGATATGTGTATATATACTTTGTACATTCCTTATAAGTCTAAAAAGTCACTTCCCATCCAAATACGGGTCCAGAAAACAGATAAATCTTTGCAGTGCCTCCCAAGAGTCGCGCCTTGGCGTGGCCAGAGGGCCGAGCACCTCTGCAGTGAGCGATGGCAGAGTGCTGCCATCCTGGGTACCCCTTGTGTGTCTGCCGGCTCTTCTCACTCCCATCTGCCGGCAGGAACGCAGTGCATAGGCTTTGCAGGGTTGGAGCAATGCACATGGAGCATGGAACACTCCCACTGTATGTGCTTGGACGTTCAGAAACTAAAATAAAGTTCATCGGTCTAATTTTAGGTCTCTGAGTTTTGGCAGCCCAAGGCCAAATAGATTCCCTTCTCAGTAATACATCTGTTTTCCATTTTCAGCAAGTCATGTATTGTTTGTTTCAATGTGTATTTCCCATTCAGAACAGATCTCATGATGTTTTTGTTAATTTCTTGCGGTGAAAAACTGTCACGTGTGCTGTGTTGTGCAATCATATCTCTTGCTTTTTGGTTGAAAGAAACTGGAAAACCGGGCAACCTGATAACTGGAGCCACGGGCATGGGCCAGGGGAAGATTGCGCCGGGTTAATCTATGCTGGGCTCTGGAATGACTTCTACTGTGAAGATGTTAACAATTTCATTTGTGAAAAAGACATGGACAAAGGTAAGATTATGTCACCCTACTCCTACCAGGCCAAATTCAAGTAAATTTTCCACAGCTAGAGGGGTGAAGATCCCGACATAAGGCTAGATCCTATGGCAGCGCCTTGTTGAGGAAGAGAGGGAATCACACTTGGAGCACTTCTGCTCAGATCCAGCCTAACATGGGCTTTTCTAATACTCTGCGCGACACAGATGCTGGATTTATTGCAATGAATCTTGTGCTCTTGTGCTCTTTCACCACAAGAAAAGTGCAGCCTTCAAACAAGTTGTAGACATAGAATCATAGAATCATAGAATCATAGAATGGTTAGGGCTGGAAGGGACCTTCAAAGGTCATCTAGTCCAACCCCCCTGCAAGGAACAGGGATATCTCCAACTAGAACAGGTTGCTCAGGGCCTCATAGCACGCTGTGCATCTTGACCATCTCCTGTAGACTTCAAACCCACCTAAAATTTCAAGCATGATTTGGCACGTGTACTCCAGACCCTGCCACACAGGAAGCTGTTCTCATAGCCTCAATGGCAATGCAGGGAGGAAAGCTGGCCTTAGGATGGCTCAGGGACCAGCCTTTGAAAACCAAAAGGACTCTGTTTTGAGAGTTTGTGCAACAGGAGACACTTGGTGACTGCTAAGGAGGTCTTAAAATTCCCACTGCTACCAGGAGATGTCCCATAGGGCTGAGAGGCTGGGTCCACAGGCCATAAGCAACTCATCTGTTGCAGTTGGTGTGGAGAACTCAAACTGCCAATGTGGCTGAGCAGTCAACCAGGTGATAGCCATGGGGCACCTCTTTCTGGTTATATGGGCACTTTTGCAACGGCAGAGGGCAGGTGGTTTACATGGCTGCTTAGAACCTAGCCCCGTCGTCACAGAGCTACTTGGCATTTGTGTTCGTGGTGAGGGTCTGCCCAAAACATTACCTCCTCCATACGACTTATTTAAACATTGCTTTGCCAAGGGTGCCTGGCAGCTTGATTGCAAACGTGTAGGCTGAATTTCAGTGAAGGCAGATGGAAGTGTCAGCTAGAGCCAAAATTACATCCCATCCACAAAAAATGCCCCCCTAAACCAAAACAAAGCAAAGTGCTGAATAAGCTTTGTATGTGTATAGCTCTGTTTGGGTGTCCAGAGTAAAGGATCGTGTGTAAATAACAATGTAATTTGCCCTTGTTTTCCTACCTGCATTTGCTATTTTAGGAAAACTTCATGGTTTACAAATATCTATCCTCCAGGACTTACAGGATCTGAATATGAGTTCACTTAAATTTTTAACATACTTTGATCTCCGTAAGTTTTGGTTTTGGAAATGCATTTAATCTTCACAGGAGTTTTACATGATTTTTTCTCTTTTTCTTTTTTCACTCATACTGTAGGGCAAATATTTGGAGTCTAATAGGCTGTGACTTTACGGATACCAACATATTATGGAAATTTACTTAGAGAAGAAGATCCTGGGAGAGAGCAACATTGACTACCAAAATTGAAAAAACAAAACAAAACAAAACCAAGCACTGAAAACTGGTTTAAATGCATAAAGGATTTCAGCAGCAACTCTTCTCCAGCATCCTGCAATTATTCGAGGCCTTTCAACCCACAGCATCAGGAAATATCATTGGACTAATTCTGTTACAGATTTTCTTCCCAACCAGTAACCATATACATAAGCAACTTTTGTGTTCTGAGAAAAGACATTCTGTCAATCTGAATAAGACTGTTGGTCACTCATATAGAAAAACATATAAAGCAACTGTGTAAACAGTGTGTTTCATTTGCTAAAAATCCCAAATGTAGGAAAATTATACAGATACACAAATATATAGATTTTATATAAATATATATATATAGTCCAACTCTTATCAATAATATGGAATATACTTTTAAGAGCTTTTAAAACTTTGTATTTTTGTACAAAATATTTGCTTTTTACAATTGTTCTCTTTTTTACTTACTTTTTTTACAAATATAGTGCACAGGGGCCAAAGAAAACAATAAAGGTACTAATAATTCATTAAGGTTTGCTGTCAGGCCTAGCTCAGCTATAGAGAAATATTTTTCCAGTTAGAAGTATTTGTACTTTCCCAGATGATTTGTTCTAGTTAAATAACTTTTAAAGCAGATTTTAGATAGTGTTTACCTTATTATTTGCAGTCTAGTCTGTGTGTGTAACAATTAAGTTGACTAAGGACTAGATACTCATTATAGCTCTGATCAACAGCAGTGTTCCACATGTCCAGGGGTACTATGCAAAGACCATGTTAATAAAAACTTTTCCCTCCTCCCTTCCCTCCCTCCTTCCTTCCTTCCTTCCTTCCTTCCTTCCTTCCTTCCTTCCTTCCTTCCTTCCTTCCTTCCTTCCTTCCTTCCTTCCTTCCTTCCTACCTGTCTGCCTGCCTTTTCTGCCTGCCTGCCTTCCTGCCTTCTTTCCTGCCTTCTACTCATGAGAAATGCCATAGAAGTAAATCTCCAAATGTTTAGAATGATTTTGAAATATTTTCATTCCTTCTCCCTTCTTGTGAGGAATTCTACCCCAGTAGGTGCTTCCCACATTGCAAGTCAAGTCCAGATGAAGGATTTTATGAAAACAGAAATGTAGGAGCTGCGCACACTGAAATATGTTTCTTTTTAAGACAGATTTCAAAATTTGGTAAGAAAAACATGCCATACTCGGAAAAGTCTAATCAATTTGCACTTCTCCAAAGTTCATTGTAAATCGATCTCTCTGTGTTCTTGGACCAGTACTTGTCTCCCAGACAAGCTAGAAAATAAAACATGCTGCAAAACAGAAAGCAGAGTGGCTAATAAGATGATATCATCACCCAGCCAGTTTCCTTCACAGTCCCATGAGTTGTTGTCTAGGCAGCAGTGCTGCTTGTCAGGAATTAAAAAAAAATAGCAACTAGTTCAAGTTCATTAGCAGAAACCCTAAAAACTGGTTTCAGTTCCCAGTGTTTATACTCTTTGCATGGCCACATGCTGTATCATGAAGGAAGTTGTTTTGGCTTCTTGGGAAGGACAGTTGTTTTTCCATTGCCTCTTGACCTGCCGTTTACCTTGGCTGAATGCAGATAAGTTTGTTGAAATACTCCAGCTCTGTTGGAAAGAGACATAGTTTTGTACTTCAGATTTTCAAATATTGCTCCTAAAACCAACCAATTAAAGACTGCTGCTTTCCCACATCCCACACTCCCTCCAGTGTTCATTTGGGGGCGTGGCTTTTAATTTTTACTATAATTTTCTTAGAGAAAACACAAAAAATGTTACATTTGGGAATCTGTCCTGTACTACATATTAGCTATTAGACAGGAGCAACATGAAAATTGCATATGTTTAATTAAAAGTGAAAGGTCTGTGTGTTACAGCTGCAGAAACTATGTGTTGCCATCTTGGAGGCAGGGATTTTCTTCTGGATTTCCTGAAACTTTTCTTTTGGCTTTTTCATCAGGTTTTGAATACAATGTGATTCTGCCATACACCCTGTCATGCTGTACCTAGGAGTTGTGTGTAGGTACACGCTGTAGTGTTTACATATGTATTTACACAGTGTCTGTGGAGATAAAGTGCTATTTTTGGATAACAAGGTACACAACTATTACTTTGCGCACCCAGTGAGCCTCAAAAAACCCTGGTGAGTGGAGCTTTGCAGAGCCACACCGAGTTGGAAGCACTGCTATGTTTGTTTTGATGTTGGCTTATTTAGCTGAAATAAGCCCATTCTGAGCATCTGTCGGGTTAAATGAAGTTCTTCTTGTTTTTTACAGATGTGATAGACTTCTGTTCACAGCAGAAGTTCATGAAAAAGCTCTGTCTAAGCCCCAGCTGTACTGTTTCCTCTCCCTGATTTCATCTTCTCTTCCTTCAGCAACAGCAGTGCTGGTATATATCGGGATGAGATGATCCAGGAGTGATGTAGTGTCCTCCACTCCCTCTAGAGAGGTTTTCTGCGCAGTGGTGATCAACAGCTATAGGTGTGCTTGTGCCTGCTTAAGGTGACAGAAATGGCTGTTTATCAGCAATAGCTGCTTGTCTTGTTGAAGACTGGCACAGCAGCTCCACTAAACTAGGGGCGGCTGGGTGGCTTTAGCATGGAAATAACCATTGAACTAGGACAGTTTAAGGATGGAACATTTTTCTGAATTCAATACTCATTTCAAAGTGAATTTCAGTGCTGGATTGTAATTATCTATAATAATGCTCTAATTATCCACCTTTAACTGAGAAACGAAACGTGCCTGGGCTCATGCTCTCCGTTCACACTTTTGAAGCAAAGAGTGTAGCTGTTTGTTAGGCAAAAATGGTTGGAGAGGGATGCTGCAACTGCATGCTTGGCGTGTTCACTCATCCTTAAAATCTGGCCTCAGCAGCCAGGCGGGCTGAGGCAGACCATCCTTCTGACCCAACATTCCTGCAGGAGGGAAACAGAGGTGTCAAATGGCAACAAAGATGGAAATCACTGGGAGGATCGGGAGAGTGTTAAGGCAGCTCAGGAGCTTGTCAGAGAAAGAAGAGATTGGCAGGGAGGCAAGCAGGACACCAGAGAGGGCCAAGAAATTGTCATGAAAGTCAGAGCTGCCACACAGGGTCTGGAAAACATCCCCGTTAAATCTGCTTTCTGTATGGTTTGAGCGATAACGCAGGTTTTATGGAAAGTTTTAAGTGATAGGAAATTATTTTGTCCCAGCTCGAGTTTTGGCTTTTCTTCTTATGTATGAATACTGTAAGTTGGCACACTGAGTATATGTTTCCATCGTCCTTTTTCTTGTTTTACATCAAACTAAATGCGAGTTCATATACCCTGGCAAGCACTGGGACTGTTGCAGGAAGGGGAGGGGAAGGCAGAGAGAATTCAAAGTCATTGGGATTTACATCCAGTGCTGGATTTCTTAATGTCGTTTCTGACTTTTTTCATTAATTTATTCGGAAACATCTTCAGCTGATTTAGAGCGTATACATTTCCAACTCTCCTCCCCTTTGATGTCTATAAATAATACCTGCAAATGTTCCAATAAAGGAAGCACTAAGCGGAGAGATGGAAGTGGATGTTCTTTACTCTGTGTGTGCTCGTGTAACCAAGAGGGATGTGGAGATCAGAGAGGTGTGGAGCCAGAAGCACTCGTAGGTATTAAAAATCAAACTGATGAAAATTATTTTCATTAAAGCCTTTCTTCCCACTTACACCATCCTAGTTCTAAGCATGACTGTGGCTATTTTATCCCTTAATTGCATTTTAGTTTATTCTCTTTGCAGTGCCTAGGTGCTAGAAACTTGGTTTTAAAGGTCTGAGCTGAACAAGACCTTTATGAAGGTCCTAAGAAGCAAGAATTCCCTCTCACAGTTCACCTCAGATGGGCTTCGAAGTGAAGGATGTCTTGACTCAAGTAGAGCAGGATCAGTCCCTAGGTTAGCCATTATTGCATCTAGCTTAAATCAGCTGTTTATAATGGCTAATCTGATCTTGCTGTTTCTCTCTCTGTCAGATGGCTGACCTCCTCTTTCAATTTTCTGTTCCTGGCAAGTAGCTCCTCTGTTTCTAGCAAGTAGCAGGAACTGGTCTCTCATCACTAGCGAGGCAAGGAGCTGGTCAGAGGGTGGCCACTGGCTGTCGGAGGAAATTGCTCCGCAGTGCGTAGGGGCAAGGCAGCCGAGCTGAATCACGTATGAGAAAACAAAACCACTTTTCCCCAGCACAGCTCCTTGCTTAAAAGCACAGCAACTCACGCAGATGCAGCATCCTAAGGGAACAAAATATCTCCAGCCCCAGCCTCCAGACTTGCTTTGCTTTTTTCCCCCCTCACTTCTGTGGGTGTCTCTGTGCACCGCAGAGAGGTTTGCGCCTCCATAAATGCCCAGCTGCCCCCGGAGCAGACTCTCCATGCGGGCAATAGGTCTCACCCTGGTGAGGGACTGGTAGTGGGACAGCTGCCCATGCCTGGCACTCCTCCCTGCTGGAACACCTTGCTTCTCCCAAGGCCCAGGCAGGAGTGGGAAGAGGAGGCAGCTGTAGGGCTCCCAGTCCTCATCCACGCTCACCAGAGGTAGTTTGGGCATCTATAGATGGGAAAGTACAATGCCTTATGGACAAAACCCTTGTTTCCCAGAAACCAGGCCTTCCTAAAACCAGAGTCTATTTGTTCATTCACCATCTCCATCTCACTTTTTCCATGCTGTTTAGCAAAAAGAAAAAAAAAACCTTGGCTAAAAACAATTTTGAAAGTTCCCATGTGTTTTCTTTCTTAGGGTGGAATACGTTTGTTTTCTCTTTCCATCTGGCTCAGAGATGAAAAAAACATTCTTTGATTTCTTTTTCAAAATAAACTCAGTGTAATGCTCCAAAATTTGTGTAAAGATTTTTTTATATATATACCAGAACAATACAAGCAAATTACTAGGCAAATAATGCTCTTTTTAGAGAAGATCTTGCATGCCGGAAGGATTTTCTTACCCAAACGGCTTCCTAGAGGCATGTAAGTATTGCCAGCCCCATTTTGTGACTGGAGGAAAAAGGAG